TATAAACTTAGTGATCTTCTGTCTGTTACCCTGTATCCCCTGTATTATTGTGTATCCCCTGTATTATTGTGTATCCCCTGTATTATTGTGTATCCCCTGTATTATTGTGTATCCCCTGTATTATTGTGTATCCCCTGTATTATTGTGTATCCCCTGTATTATTGTGTATCCCCTGTATTATTGTGTATCCCCTGTATTATTGTGTATCCCTGTATTATTGTGTATCCCCTGTATTATTGTGTATCCCCTGTATTATTGTGTATCCCTGTATTATTGTGTATCCCCTGTATTATTGTGTATCCCCTGTATTATTGTGTATCCCCTGTATTATTGTGTATCCCCTGTATTATTGTGTATCCCCTGTATTATTGTGTATCCCCTGTATTATTGTGTATCCCCTGTATTATTGTGTATCCCTGTATTATTGTGTATCCCCTGTATTATTGTGTATCCCCTGTATTATTGTGTATCCCTGTATTATTGTGTATCCCCTGTATTATTGTGTATCCCCTGTATTATTGTGTATCCCCTGTATTATTGTGTATCCCCTGTATTATTGTGTATCCCCTGTATTATTGTGTATCCCCTGTATTATTGTGTATCCCTGTATTATTGTGTATCCCTGTATTATTGTGTATCCCCTGTATTATTGTGTATCCCCTGTATTATTGTGTATCCCCTGTATTATTGTGTATCCCCTGTTTATGTGTATCCCTGTTATTGTGTATCCCCTGTATTATTGTGTATCCCCTGTATTATTGTGTATCCCCTGTATTATTGTGTATCCCCTGTATTATTGTGTATCCCCTGTATTATTGTGTATCCCCTGTATTATTGTGTATCCCCTGTATTATTGTGTATCCCCTGTATTATTGTGTATCCCCTGTATTATTGTGTATCCCCTGTATTATTGTGTATCCCCTGTATTATTGTGTATCCCTGTATTATTGTGTATCCCCTGTATTATTGTGTATCCCCTGTATTATTGTGTATCCCCTGTATTATTGTGTATCCCCTGTATTGTGTATCCCCTGTATTATTGTGTATCCCCTGTATTATTGTGTATCCCCTGTATTATTGTGTATCCCCTGTATTATTGTGTATTTCCCGTATTATTGTGTATTTCCCTGTATTATTGTGTATTTCCCTGTATTATTGTGTATTTCCCTGTATTATTGTGTATTTCCCTGTATTATTGTGTATTTCCCTGTATTATTGTGTATTTCCCTGTATTATTGTGTATTTCCCCGTATTATTGTGTATTCTCCCGTATTATTGTGTATTTTCCCGTATTATTGTGTATTCTACCGTATTATTGTGTATTCTCCCGTATTATTGTGTATTTCCCCGTATTATTGTGTATTTCCCCGTATTATTGCGTATTCCCAGTATTATTGTGTATTCTCCCGTATTATTGCGTGTTCTCCCGTATTATTGTGTATTCTCCCGTATCATTGTGTATTGTACCGTATTATTGTGTATTCTCTCGTATTATTGTGTATTTCCCCGTATTATTGTGTATTTCCCAGTATTCTTGTGTATTCTCTCGTATTATTGTCTATTCTCCCGTATTATTGTCTATTCTCCCGTATTATTGTCTATTATCCCGTATTATTGTGTATTCTCCCGTATTATTGTGTATTCTCCCGTATTATTGTGTATTCTCCCGTACTATTGTCTATTCTCCCGTATTATTGTGTATTTCCCCGTATTATTGTCTATTCTCCCGTATTATTGTGTATTTCCCCGTATTATTGTCTATTCTCCCGTATTATTGTGTATTTCCCCGTATTATTGTGTATTTCCCCGTATTATTGTGTATTTCCCCGTATTATTGCGTATTCCCAGTATTATTGTGTATTCTCCCGCATTATTGTGTATTTCCCCGTATTATTGTCTATTCTCCCGTATTATTGTGTATTTCCCCGTATTATTGTGTATTTCCCCGTATTATTGTGTATTTCCCCGTATTATTGTGTATTTCCCCGTATTATTGTGTATTCTCCCGTATTATTGTGTATTTCCCCGTATTATTGTCTATTCTTCCGTATTATTGTGTATTTCCCCGTATTATTGTCTATTCCTCCGTATTATTGTGTATTTCCCCGTATTATTGTGTATTCTCCCGTATTATTGTGTATTCTCCCGTATTATTGTGTATTCTCCCGTATTATTGTGTATTCTCCCGTATTATTGTGTATTCTCCCGTATTATTGTTATTCCCGTATTATTGTGTATTCTCCCGTATTATTGTGTATTCTCCCGTATTATTGTGTATTCTCCCGTATTATTGTGTATTCTCCCGTATTATTGTGTATTCTCCCGTATTATTGTGTATTTCCCCGTATTCCCATATACGAACATTTATTCTCGTGAATATCATATATGCTCATATATTCCCTTTTATTCCAAATTCATTTTCTTTCATCTTTATTATGGTAAATTCACAACATTACGAAATATTCCAGATATTACGAAATATTCCAGATATTACGAAATATTCCAGATATTACATAGTACTCCAAATGTTACAGAATATTCCAAATTTAGGGAATATTCAATAGTTTTCATACATAATTATTATTATTATTATTATTATTATTATTATTAGTAGTAGTAGTAGTAGTAGTAGTAGTAGTAGTAGTAGCAATAATGGAAGTAGTAGTGGAAGTAGTAGTAATGGTGGTAGTAGTAGTAGTAGTAGTATTAATGGTAGTAGTAGCAGTGGTGGTAGTAGTAGTGGTGGTAGTAGTAGTGGTGGTAATAGTAGTGGTAGTAGTATTAATAGTAGTAGTAGTAGTGGTGGTAGTATTAGTGGTAGTAGTAGTAGCTGTGGTAGTAGTAGTAGTGGTAGTAGTAGTAGTGGCGGTAGTAGTAGTAGTAGTGGTGGTAGTGGTAGTAGTAGTAGTGGTGGTAGTAGTAGTGGTAGTAGTAGTAGTAGTATTAATAGTAGTAGTAGTGGTAGTAGTAGTAGTGGTGGTAGTATTAGTGGTAGTAGCAGTGGTGGTATTAGTAGTGGTAGTAGTAGTAGTGGTGGTAGTATTAGTGGTAGTAGCAGTGGTGGTATTAGTAGTGGTAGTAGTAGTAGCAGTGGTGGTAGTAGTAGTGTAGTAGTAGCAGTGGTGGTAGCAGTGGTGGAGTAGTAGTAGTAGTATGAGTAGTGGTAGTAGTAGTAGTGGCAGTAGTAGTAGTAGTGGTGGTAGTAGTAGTAGTGGTAGTAGTAGTAGTGGTAGTAGTAGTAGTGGTGGTAGTAGTAGTGGTGGTAGTAGTAGTAGTGGTGGTAGTAGTAGTGGTGGTAGTGGTGGTAGTAGTAGTGGTGGTGGTAGTAGTAGTAGTAGTGGTAGTAGTAGTATGGTAGTAGTAGTTGGAGTATATATATATATATATATATATATATTATATATATAAAAATATATATATATATATATATATAAATTTATATATATAATATAAAAGCAATAAGGTCACAGTAAACAGGTAATTTCAGAATATGCAAAACAACCACTGTGAAAGAATAGAGAAATTCCAAGCGCTTTCGTGACTACTCACATTATCAAGGAACAATGAAAGTAATGCATCAAAGGAACTCATATAAAGGGTCTAGCCCACACCTCACTATCAAATCCCACAACAAAGCAACATCTGACGCGCGGCTCATAAGAAAGGGAACACTGCAGCAGGCCCGCTGGCCCAACTAGACAGGTCCTTCACACAACCCACCAACAAACTATTCTACCCAAGAATTAAGAATTTTAAAATTTATTATTTGTCAAATGTATTATTAAATTCTTCCCAATTTCTATTAATTATAAATGGCTCTAATTTATATAAACCAAAGGAAATATTCATATTATTGTCAAAACTGTTTTAACAAGATTCAATTATATCCTGTCCTACCATGTTTTCCCTTTAAAATTTCTCACTTTTGAAAATCAAGTTTAAAATCTTTCACATAAATACAGCTTGGAATCTTGTCCAGTTCTAATGCCTATATTTATTTTAAATCTAGTTCGAGATTTTTCCCAGTTTGACCAAAACTTATCGCAATTTTACAAGGAATCTTAAGACACCTCTCATTTGGAAATTTTACTGTAATAAAGATTTTTAAATACAACTTGATATTAAATTTAAAGGGCTCATAACATCAAGTTTTCATGTAAGGGGAACCAAATTTTTGAATAAGGCTTCCCTTTTTGATTGTAAAAATTTTCTTACCAATCCCCACTGTACAATACCTTGGCGTTGAGCTTGCGCAACCGTTGATCCAACAGCTACACGCAAGTTTGTCGTGTGGTAAGATGCATTTAGCACCTTGTTTAAGTTTCTTCTCTCCTTCAGTTAAAATTCATGTTTGGATTTTCCAGCTCCTTTGCGAATCCTTGCATTGTTAAAATCCTAAGCAGCATGCGGATAGATGAAAGCTGTACCTTTCCCTGAAAGCTGGCCTTGGACAAAAAGCAATCTACAGCCAAGGTATTGTCCAGTGTGGGATGGTATAAATGCATCTTGTTCTAAGGTACGTATGGTTCGAGTCCTTGATAGATCATATAATTTGTAATATTATTCTTCAGAATTCTTGCACATATATATATATATATATATATTATATATATTAATATATATATATAAAATATTAATTATATATATATATATATATATATATATCGTTTATTTCACAAATGTGACATCAGAATTATATTCTGTTATATACTTCAATTATATTTTCAACATGTCAGTGTTTTCCCTGTCATTAAAATTATAATAATGTTATAATATAATCACTGTGATTATTTGTATAATTAATATAAATTTGAATACGCGAATATTCAATGCTATCACAATGTATATGTCTGTATAAATCTATAGTCGTTTATTATAACTTAACAGAGTTTATACATGTGTGGTGTGTGTGTACTCACCTAGTTGTACTCACCTAGTTGTACTCACCTAGTTGTACTCACCTAGTTGTACTCACCTAGTTGTACTCACCTAGTTGTACT